TACCCATCTCTCCCCGGTACCCATCGCCCCCGGTACCCATCGCTCCCGCGGCCGGTAAGCTGCGGCTCTGCCGGGGAACCAAAGGGTTAAACCAAACCCGCGGGTTAACCCAAACCCGGTGATTTTTGTCTTGCTCATTCACTCTTTTTCAGCAGGGCCTGCGCTGGGCAGGGGCTCCGTTAAAAAGGCACTGGAGGTTCGAGTGGGGATTGCAGCTGCTGGTTTTGCTGCGTGGTCTGTGCTGACCTTGCAACAGAAACTTCATTAGAGTGGCATTTTACATTTACGCTGTGAAAATATGATTTTTACAGAGTATCGTCTGCAGGGCGGGACATAAACAAGGTTGTTCACAATGTGTTTGATATTCAGAGATCTGAAAAAACAGATGAAGAATTTTGTTGGAAAGCAGGAGGACTGGTAATGCTGGAACTTGGTGAGGTATTGGCAGTGCCTTTGCTCTGCTTCCCAGGCCAGTACCAGTGTTTCCAGCTCTGAGGCTGCTGTGCTGTGTTCTTTAAATTGGAAAGTAACTCAGTACCTTCAGAAATTGATGTTTTAATGAACTGGGACTTTCAGAAGAATTTCTTCATAGCAAGGGTGGTTAGACACTGGAATGTGCTGCCCAGGGAGGTGGTGGAGTCACCATCCCTGGAGGTGTTTAAGGAAAGACTGGATGTGGCACTTAATGCTCTGGCCTAGTTGACTTGGTGGCGTTAGGTCATAGGTTGGACTCAGTGGTCTCAGAGGTCTTTTCCAACCTTAATGATTCTGTGATGATTCATTTTTTCTGAAGTTCTGAGTTCCGTGTTCTGCCAAACTAACTCATGTTTGTATTTTCAGGGGAAGAAAGAAGAATGTCCCAAAAACACCTGAAAGAAGCCTTTATCAGCAACCTGAACGGAACTAGTTTGCTGGAAATTTCTGTAGGCTTGTCCCTAGCTCCGCTGTGCCTGCTTGGCAGAGGGCTGCTCCTGGTTCTGTGGTACCTGCACTATGGGAAACCTGTGGGGTCAAGGACATACAGCCTGCTGCTGGACTTCCTCGTGCTAGTATCTCCCCTCCTGTTCTCCTGCACGGTCTTGTCTCCAATCATCTATTTCATACCGCTCATCCTTGCTGCCTTCTGCGCCGGAATATTTGCCAGAGTCTGCAGCCAAAGAAAACAGAAGACCGGAGTGCCTTTTGGGCAAATTGTAAAAGAATTCCAGAAGACATACTTGGATCCCGAATACATTCCAGCGATCACTGTGTTCCGTGTCTATGTCAATGTGCTGACATCCATCAGCATCCTAGCAGTGGATTTCCCGCAGTATCCACGGCGATACGCCAAAGCCGAGACCTACGGCACGGGAGTGATGGATTTGGGGGTTGGAGCTTTTATCTTTGGGAATGCTCTCGTTTGTCCTGAAGTTCGACACAAGTCTCGTGTGGCACAGCCCAAATTCTCCCATCTGGTCAGGCAGGTCTTTTCTGTTTGGCCACTGGTTTCCCTTGGTGTGGGACGACTGCTCAGTGTGAAGTCTATAGAGTATCACGAACATACGTCCGAGTATGGAGTGCACTGGAATTTCTTCTTTACCTTGGCATTTGTGAGACTTGCAGCATCTCTGCTTCTAGCCATATTCCCAAAAAAGAATTCTTGGATGGTGGGTCTAACTCTGGCTGTGCTTTACCAGCTTATTCTGAGCTCTACCTCTCTGAAGACCTTCATCCTGCACGGCAGCAGCGGCAGAGGCAGCAGGGTTGGCTTTCTCGACGCCAACCGGGAAGGCCTGTTCTCCCTTTTTGGCTACCTGGCCATATACATGGCTAGTGTCCAGGTGGGAGTGTGGCTGCTGGAGCGCAGGAGCTCGGTGCGGGGCTGGGTTGAAGCAGTGTGGGCTTTGCTGCTGACAGTTGTGGTGCTCTTTGCGTTCCTGCACGTGTCGCAGGCGTGCGCAGACCCCGTGTCGCGCCGCATGGCCAATCTGTCCTTCTGCATCTGGGTGATGGCTCACTGCCTCCTGCTGCTTCTCTTTTTCGTGGCCACTGACCTTGTGCTGGTGTTCACAAAGCTGCTGGTGAAGGGCTCCAGCGTGCCCAGCTGCTGGAATGTTGTGAAGCTCCCTCATGCCAGTGCAAAGCATGGAGCAGAGGCTGTGTCAGAGGGAAGGGAAGATGAGGTGTCACACGTTTGCCTCATTAGTGCTATTAACAAAAATCAGCTGCTGTTTTTCTTGCTGGCAAATGTGATGACTGGTGCTGTGAACCTCCTGATAGACACACTGCACAGCAAGGCTTTCTCTACGCTGTGCATACTGCACTTGTACATGTTTTTTAACTGCTTAGTTATGTATATATTGCATGCCAAGAACAGAGTATTAAAGTTTTGGTAACTCCACTCTGAGTGGACTAGTTGAACTTTGCTGTACTTGGATGGTGGCACTTTAATGGGAAAATTAGTCTTTTTCTTGTATGTATTGCAATAATTTATAATTTAGTGTGGGTTTTTTAAAAATGATTTAGTGTGGATTATTTAACCAAATTTTACAGTCAATGTTGTTACCCACTGGGAGTTGTTATTTATTTTCCTGAAAACTGAAGTTTTTGAGATTGATTGCTGAATATTCCTGCTACTCCTGAGTAAATTTACTTACAGGTAGTGAACTGTGCTCAAACCTAAGTGCTGGTGGAATTAGATAACGACACAGAGATGAAAAGTAAGAAAATGAGTAATTATGTGTAGATAGAGGCTTAGCTGTGTCAAGATTTACCTAGTTAGGGCCCTTGCATAAATAATAGATAAGAATAATTCTTTATATAAAATGTATTGAATAAGTGGATACTCAAAAATGTTTTTGGCCTCAGTCCTGCAAAGATTTATGCACAGGTTTGACTTTGATGGCAGTAGTTGTATGTGGAATGTTAATCACATACTGAAATCTAAATTAGCCTTTGAATTAAAGCTCAATTTTCTTTCCATCCTCACTGATGAATGTAAATGAAGACCCTAGATAACGTGTGATGCTCTGAAGGATGAGCCCAACTGCAGCTGAATTCCTAAAGCAGTTGTTGGAGGTTGTGGTGCATAGTAAGAGCCGCACAGGACTTTATAAGAAAATACAAAGCTCTCAAACTAGTTCACCCCCAACCTGCAGAGCAGCACCTTCTGACAGCTTATCTTTGGGAATGCTGCAAATTATGGTCTGCAGCTCTGCTTGGAAAGTAGTCATGGCCCACCTGCTTGTCTATAAAATTATTTTAAACAGCAACTCATTTCACAGCTGAGATGTCTTTGGGGGGAATGTTCAGTATTGATTTTTGTTAGCAAACCAACAGGGTGCAGATGAAAGAGGTGTGATGCAGTGGGTCAGTGCTGGCCCAAGGTACTGTCTCACCAAGGGATGTGCTCAGTTTCTCTCTCTGTCTTTCTGCAAGCTCAGAGCAGAAGACCCTCTTTGTTCCCTTTCCTAACTGTGATAGTTCTTCCTGACCTCATAAAGCTGTTGAGAAGAGAAATACATATAAGGATCGTGAGGAATTCAGTAATGGGGTATAAATACTTCAGAAGCAGAATACAAATGGTAGTTGATGATAGATGTCTAATGTCAGTGGAGTTACAGCCGTGCACATGGACCATATTTCATATTTCTCCTTGTCTATCACATGTGATGAATCATAAAACCTGTGGAGATGAAGCCTCGAAATTGGATTCCTTAAGGCAGACATGCTGTGGAATACTCTTAGATTTATGAGGTTCTCAGCCACTGGCCAACAGAAAGGTGAAGCCTGAGGATTGCAGGCTGTGGCCATGGTGATTTCATGCTTGTTTGCTTCTAAGTTAAAGCCATGCAGTCTTCAGAATCAAAGCAAACCAGCCTGGTTTATCCTGAGGACAAATGCAACAACTGGCAGCAATGTCTTAGAAACAGTTGTCAGTTTATAGCAGCTTTCTGGTAACTGGTGGATGTATTTATTTTAAAGCACTCCCCAGCTTTGACTCCCTCATGAACCAAACAGCACTACTCATTTATGCAAAAGTACTCGTGGATATTAATTTCTGAAACATCTGAAGCCCAAGACCTGCAATGAGTTCTGCCTGTGAGCACAAGTCTATCGGTGTGATTCAGAATGAAGGCATTAATTGGGTGTGACAAGCAGAGTTGTGTCTGGACAAGCACAAACTATCCCAATGCCAACTCCACCGGGTGAAGCAGAAATGAGGTGGGAGGTCTGGTGAGCCCTGTGAGCTCCAGGATGGGAGCTGTGGTTTCCACAAGTGTGGCAAACCAAGGGTAAGGACAGGAGTGAGCACAACCCTCACCCTGCCTTGTGAGGACATCTAAAGCTCTAAGTAAGTTAGAGCTCAGAGGTTGTAGCAAGGTGGAGTTGGCCTCTTCTCCCAGGTAACAAGCAACAGGACAAGAGGACACGGCATCAAGCTGTGCCAGGGGAGGTTCAGGTTGGACATCAGGAGGAATTTCTTCATGGAAAGGATTGTCAGGCATTGAAACTGCTCAGGGAGGTGTTCGAGTCACCATCCCTGGAGGTGTTCAAGACATGACTGGACGTGGCATTCAGTGCTCTGGGCTAGTTGACAAGGTGGTGATGGGTCACAGGTTGGACTCGATGGTCTTGAAGATCTTTTCCAACCTCGATGATTCTGTAAGTTGTTCAACACTAAATTAATGAGAGACAATTAATTCTATTGCTTGTTGTTGATAACAAGCTTGTTGTTAATAACAACAAGCAAGCTCTGCCCTGAAGCAACTGGTGCACTTATTAATGATGAGTGTTTAGCCTATGAACACAGGTAATTACCAAAGGCTCTGAAAGAACCCAGAAATGCAGAGCATTCTTTGATCACAGGGTCTGCACGAGCAAACAGCTCCATCAGGGGGTTGGAAAGGTGTGAGAAGTGAACACTGACACTGCTGCAGATGCTTTCTCCACACACAGCTCCATAGCTGGTGGTTGGTAGGAACAGGAACTCTATGTTTCACTTCACTCAGGGCTGTGTTTAGACAAAGAGTCTTGTACAGATCAAAGATATATTTAAAAAAAGAAAAAGCTTTTATTTAGTTGTCATATAATTAGTAAAAGTTTGAGGTATTTCAAGACTAATATGGTTCAACCGTAGTGTGGCACCAACTCCAGGGATAGTAAAGCAGGAGACTGGGAAAACAAAATGTTTTGCCTTTAATGCCATAATTCCACCAAAATGACCTTTTGGTAGGGTGTAGGATAGAAAAAATATGGTGGGAGAGTCGAGCTGATTATATTTATTCCTAACCTTATTCCTTGTTAAACATGAGTAGCTTCCCTAAAACTCTCATTATTTTCAAGGATCAACTCCCCAGCATTCCCTCCCTTCCCCTCCAACCCAGTGGTGTCTCCTTTGAAGTGCAATGCTACCAGTTAAAGATTCCAAGTGGTATCCTATTTCAAAGCCACAATGTCCTAGAGAACAGGTATTTCTTCCAGGCACAGAGGGGCATGCAAATACACACACGTAGGGGCTGGCTGTGCTTTAGATAACCAACAAGCTGCATGTTCCAGCAACTTTAAAAAAAACAAACCCCAACCACGTTTTCCATGGATAAAAATTGTATGATGGTGCTTTTCCTATGTAGTTTATCAATGTGATAAAGAGAATGCTCAAAGAAAACAGATCTGGGGCAGTGCTGTTTGTTGATGTGATCCAGCCATGCTGGGGGAGTGAAGGGGCTGAAATGACACAGGAGTAGCCCCTGTGAAGACAACATTCATCATGGGTTGGTCATGGAGAATCCTCCCTCTATACCCAATCCCAGCTTTCCT